GGATGTTCTTTCTAACTTAGCCAGCAATCAATAAATCTTGTTTATCCTTTCAAAGAATCATCTTTTGGTTTTATTGATCCTTATATGGATTTGGGGGCCTCAATCTTGTTCAGTCCTGCTCTGATTTTAATTATTTCTTTTCTTCTTCTAGGTTTGGGGTTAGTTTTGTCTTGTTTTCCTAGTTCTGGCTGTGATGTTAGATTACTCATTTGAAATCTTATTAATTTTGTGAGATACGTCTTTGGTGCTGTAAACTTAGCTCTTAATACTTGTTTTGCTGCATCCCAGATATTTTGGTATCTTTGTTTTTCTTTATTTCAAATATTTTTCATTTTTTTCTGCCTTAAGTTTGTTGTTTACCCAAAAGTCATTTGACCAACTTGTTTAATTTCCATGTAATAGTGTGCTTTTGAAACAACCTCTTGGTATTGGCTTTCATTTGTATTCCACCATGGTATGAGAATATGGCTGGAATAATTTCAATTTATTTATTTGTTTATTGAGACTTGCCTTATGGCCAAGCATGTGGTCAATCATGGAGCATGGTCCATGAGCAGATGAGAAAAATGTGTATTCTGTGGTTGATGGGTGGAGTATTCTCTACATATCTATTAGGTCCAATTGGTCAAGTGTCAAAGTTTAGTCCAGAATTTCTTTGTTAGTTTTCTGCCTTCATGATCTGTCTAATGCTGTAAGCAGAGTGGTGTAGTGCCCTACGGTTATTATATGGCTGTCTTTTCACAGGTCTAGAAGTACTTGTTTTATGAATCTGAGTGCTCCAATGTGGAACACATATATACTTGGAATAGTTAAGTCTTTTGTTGAACTGAACCCTTTATCATTATGTAATGCCCTTATTTGTCCTTTGTTACTTTGTTTGGTTGAAAATCTTTTTTTAACCTTTAAAATATTTTATTTATCTTTTATATACATACATATATATATATATATATATATATATATATATATGTAGGTATTTTGCGCTTTAGGTCCTGGAGTACATGTGAAGAATATACGGTAGTTTTATATATATACATACAGCAATGTTTCGAAAGCACTTTTGTTGT